TGTAAAAAAAAAATACAAAATTGCACTTGTTTTGTGTGCATGGGGTATGTGTGTGTATGTGTGTGTGTGTGTGTGATGTATGTGTGTTTGTGTGGGTGCACACATGCACACATGTGGAGGTCAGAGGACAACCTCAGGCAGAATCTGTCTCGTCCTTCCGCCTTGTTGCAGAGAGGGGTTCTTGTTGTTTACTGCCACATATGTCAGGCTACCTGACCCTCGAGCTTCCAGAGATTTTCCTGTCTCCACAGCCCATAGCTCATGGGAACACTGGGATTACAAGTGCCTGTGCCCTGCGTCTAACTTTTACACAGATGCTGAGGATCAGAACTCAGGTCATCAGGCTTACATGGCAAGGGTTTTACCACTGAACCATCTCTCCAGCCCAAAAATTACAGTTATTTCACCCACTGCTGTAGAAGGTAACTGATGTTGAAAAAACCTAGGCGCCATGAGGCCACCTGATAGGAATGCCTGACAAGAGGTCAAGCATTAAGAAACTAGCTTATCAGAAAAACAGGACGTAGTGGTCAAGCCATCTGCATCTGGCAATCCCCGGGGCTCAATACCAGGAAATCAGATCTGTACCATAAGTCACCCACCCAGAATTTAGCAACTTAACTTCCTCATGCTTTATACTCGTTTGAATGGGCCAATAACCATGCTTCTGCTTCTGTACCCCGCTTCTGCTCTATAAAAGTGCCAAAACCCAGCATGGGGGCGCGCAAGTCCTCCGAGGAGACTTTGTGCCCACAGGTACCTGTGTACTAAATAAACCTCTTGCTGTTGCAACCCGAAGGCTGACTTGTCCTCAGTGGTTTCACTCTTACAAACTTATATCCATTTTCCTCTGGCTTATAACAACCTGCTTTTGTTGAGGCCACTCATATGCCCAGGTGGAAGAATGTATCTCCCATTTTTCCCTATAGCTTGGGATAAAGCAAGCAGATTTTGGGGGAAGGGGATATGTTATTTATTTTGCAAGTTTCCTGCCAACTCTTTATTATTGTTCTTTTGCCATTTCTGTGTGTGTGGGGGGGGTGTGTGTGTATGGGTTGTACATGTGTGTTTGCATGTATGTGGGAACACGTGGGTGCCAGTGCATATTTATGATGAGATCAGAGATTGATGTTGGGAAGCATCTCCAACTGTTCTTCCTTATTCATTGAGGCAGGGTCTCTCAATCAAACCTAGAGCTTGCCTAAAATGGCTAGGCTCTTTAGTCATCTTGTTCTAGAAATCCCTTGTCTCTGCCTTCTGAGGCTAGAAATTATAGGTGGGGCTGCCATGCTTACCTGACATTTATGGGGATTCTAAGGATCTGAACTCTGGTTATCATGCTTGCATAGCAAGTGCTTTAACACTGAGCAATCTCTCTGGTCCCTCTTGCTAACCCTTTAAGAGTGTTAACTCAGCTAGGAGAGAGCCAGATTTTGTT